CCGGGTATGTGAATTCTTGTCAGCACTTCTGCTTAACTAAAAATATTCAAATATGATTGGTCGAAACATCCAACATAGCGCCAAGTTAACACAGTGTCCACTAAATCACATGGGGGAGGGGATGATAACATGAGCGGTGGGGAGGAAGGGGGTTTTGATTCAGTTTTTTTTGTGCTACATGTTCAGTTTCAAATTGGTTGTAACCATGGTAATTTTTTTTACTTTGAAAATTGTTTTTTCTTGAACTCGAGTAAAATTGATAACAAGAGTTTTCCTGATTAATTTCGCGTAGTGAAACTCACGAGAGTTTTTGCTCAAAAACGGAAAATCTTTTCTAGTAGATCAATTAGACTTTAACTTTCAATTAGACTTTCAGATTGTTGGTGTTGTTTCAAATTTGTTCTATTTCAAATTGAACTCAAATATTTTCTCTTTCAAATATGAACTCAAGAATAAACATTAACCAGACGTAAAGTCATATGGTTATTTTATTGTTATAATGTCATGAAGTTTTCGACATGCGTTTTAAAATTACTTCAAGCTCAATTCAGTATTATTAGTTATCACATTTTGAAATGGTTTCTCTTTATTTGTCGCATTAAATTAAACAATTCATTAAAATGACAATTTAAAAACATCTATAAACCAAAATAAGAGTTAACACATTTCAAAGAGAATTAAATTTTTGTCCAAATTGGCTTCAATTTAAAAGCAACGAGAGCTTATCGAGCTTTGGAGAAATCTGAAATTAATATCAAGTTTTACTAACCGATACGAACTAGGGGAAATATTTCAACTATGTTGTCAGAGGATATTGTTCTGACTCGGAAACCAACAACTGCTATTGCGGGTATCTTCATCATCTCCAATGCTGCGCTAGGGGCAGGCACTCTCGCATTTCCAAATGCATTTGCCAAGTCAGGACTCATACTCAGTTTTCCCATCTTGGGGGTGAGTACCCGCACCGAAGTTTCATGGATAAAAATATTAATGAATTTTTTGACTAAAATGTTGTCCATATAATCGATTATCATGGCAAATTTAGACGACAAAGTAAAGGATTCTTAATCCATTTTAACCGATTATTTTTGAAAAACAAAAATCCATTAATAGCCATTATAATCAATTATATTCCATTTTGTTTTCAATATAATGGATATTTTTTGTACATAAACTCCAGGAAAATTGATTAAGTTTTAAAAATAATGACTCTACTCTCTGCAATTTTCTGCAAAACCCGAACGAACACGTTCATCCAGGGGCGGTCATCATGTAGTAATTTTCCCATCCTTAAACGCATTTAAATTCAAACCCCCCCTCCCCACGCGCGTACCACACCCCCACTAAACACTAAACATCACCACCTGGATAGGTAATTATGTAGCATGAGTAATAGCATTTTCAAATCACCCTTTGCTAACAAACTTGTCTTATTATAAACAAAAAAAGTCTTTTTTAGATCAAATTTTATCGTTCAAAATTCAAAAGATGTAAGCCGGTTTCTTCGACACTGGGATAATTTTTCAAATTTTATTTTATTGTAATTCTAATAAATAATAAAAGAACTTGAATTTGATATATCATTCGACCCATTCCAGTGATTAATTATGATCATTTTTTTTTGAAAAACAGAAGAAGTCTGCTCGCTAATCTCATTCGCTCAAATTTAGACCAAAAATAAAAAACTTCAAACCGGGTTTTCCTCACAAAGAAATTCTTTTGAAATTTTTAAAAATTGTTTGAACCACGACTGAAATGGTTTTAATATGGTATATCACTCGACCCATTCCGATGATAATTTGTGGTACTTAATATTGCATGAAAAAAAACTAAAACACATCTGAATACAAATTTCCTTCCAACTTTCAGTTGTCGGAAGAATTACTTTCAGCAATTTTTAATCAAATACTAATATCTTTTTACAGGCATTTTTGATTTGATTGAATCCATTTTTTATATTTCGTCTATGTAGCCCATCTATTCCAAGCCCATGCACTTTTTTGAGTTTTTTATAAATGTTTTGAAAACTAACTTTTTCTTTCTAGATATGTATAGTGTTGTGTGCTCTTTCTCTCTCAATAGTGGCTTTCGCCAATTACGAAACAGGTGAAAATACTGTATGATAGATAGTCTTTCAGAATACTTCATGAAAATTGCTTAGTATACCGTCAAAGCACAAACTTAACTTTACAACAAAAATTAGTTTGTCTTAAAGTTTTTTGTGAATCAAAATTTGCGCAAAATGCTTAAGACAATCAATCAAACCAGATATATCATTATATTTTTTGCCCAGTAAATCGAAAATATTTTGCATTTTGTTTTTAGTACGATTTAGCTTGAGAAACAACATGAAAAAAAAACTTTTTTTTCCCACTCAATCAATGCAAATAAATCACCCTACTTATCACACACCCAAGGTTGCCTAGTAACGGATTGACACATATATAGAGCTAATTCAATGGTTAAGCATTTGTATTTTTGTACCTAGTATTGAACGCCCCCCCCCTTTTTTCAAAATGAGGACTACCGGGTCGAGCTCCCAGACTCATGTAGACCACATTTTGGCGACCAATTTTTGGCATGTCCAGACTTTCCAGACCGAAATTAGGCATGTCCAGACTTTCGCGACCAAAACTTGCCATTTCCAGACTTTTGCGACCACGATGATCCGTCGCGACTTTCGCGACCGAAGCGGAGTTGGCGCGACTAAAATATCGCGACCCAATTTGGTATGTCCAGGAGACGGCGCGACCAAGAAATAATTCCTCACGACCGAGATGGATACGGCGGAGATTTCCAGGTCAAGTTGGAGACGGCGCGACCAAGAAACAGTTTCTCGCGACCTAGGTGGATACAGCGCGACTTTCAGACCATGGTGGAGACGGCGCGATTTTGAGGCCGAGGCGGAGACGGCGCAAATTTCCAGACCGAGGCGGTCACGCCGCGACCACGACAGAATTCTTCGCGACCGTGGTGGACGCGGCGCGACTTTCACGATCAGAGTGGAGTCATCGCAATTTTCCAGACCAAGGCGGAGAAGGCGCGATTTTCTGGACACAGACTTTCGTGACCCATGTCGAGGCTTTCGCGACCAAGTTTTGGTACGTCCAGACTTTCGCGACCCATGTCCAGATTTTCGCGACCAAATTTTGGCAAGTCCAGACTTTCGCGGCCCACGGCGCGACTCATGTCCAGACTTTCCAAACTCAAACTATGCAATTTGGGTCTAAATCCGGATGCGGCGCGACCCTCAAAGTCTGGATATGAGTCTGAGACCTCGACCCAGGTAGTTGAATAGTTAAAAAGATCCAGGCTAATTTAGACTCTATCTATCATACTTAATTCCTCTAAGGCACCTATGAGTATTACCAAGCGATGCGGTTCTACTGCGGACCCTGGGTTGAGTTCTTGTTCAACGCACTAATGATAGTTGGCAATATTGGTACTTGTGTTCTCTACATGATCACAGTCGGCGACCAAGCAGATCAAGGTCTGTAAAGATCATTCAGATGAAGGGAGGCAGATATTAGTTTTTTGTTTGTTTCAGGATTGGCTCTTTTCCACTCCCCCACACTTGAATTACACTTTCAAAAAACAGTTTTTACGTTGTCAAAATGAGAAATGAAACATTGCTCAGTGAGCAAACTAAATATTGTGAACAAATTTGTTCTTCAAACTTTATATCATAACATCACACATTCAGTGAGAACATGTGAGACATTTGAGAAAAGATGAAAATATCTGAAATTGTATGTTAAGCAATGTTTTTGTTCAGAAAGTTTTTTTTGATGCCAAAGTTGCTCTCATTTAACTGAAGCTGCCATAAACTGTTTTATTTTAGTTTTAAAACAATATAAGATAATTTTCGGGAAAAAAACCTTTCGATTGAAAATTGCTTGCCATGCAGTTTTCTTCTTTGAAAATTGTATCATAAGCCTTATTCCATTTTCCACATATGAATTTGTAATTTGGCCTTTTTCTTGTATGGACCTCAATCCGCGATTATAGCAAAAATGACCGGTCGCTTTCCTTTTTTGAATTTGCATCCAAAAATTCTAAATAAAGTGTTGCATATGAACTTTTTGGATGAAAACTTAATGATAACGTTTTGAAATCAAAATTGTATTAGTATATAACAAAAAATGTTGGTTGCTTCTTACCTTCCACTGAATCCTACAACAAAAACTTAGACCAGGAAATATAGTGAGAATAGCGGTCTCAAATTTCATAAAAATACTGGTCTGTGAAATCATTAATTACAGAATTAAGCTTTTTTGTCTGAATTCAGTGCCCTAACGAGTGGGAGAAACATAAATTTCAAACAATTTTTTATCCATTTTTGCCAATTTTGTTCACTTTTCTAAACGCATTTTTTGCATTTGATATGTTTAAATTAGATTGAAATTGAGAGCTCATTTAGAATCGAAGCTTATTTAGCATTCTTACTTTAGGGCACTATCACAGAAAAGAGCTTTATGATTTTTGTGTTTCTTGAAATCACTTCAATTTGCAGCCAAAGTTAACTTTTTACGCTGATGAACCTAGGGCTTGAGACCTAAAAACAGTTGAATGAAGAAACCATGTTTACATTTATCTTTTAAGACCTCGTTTGAATAAAGTTTTCTTTATCATTGTGAGGCTATTATTTTGACCAAGAAATTTGCTGGTATAAACAGACCCTATGGTTGTATTATTGGTCTTATTTTGGCATAAAAAACTTGTTTATTAGTCAGAAAATTATCAAAAAAGAGTATTTAAGTTTAAAGCGACTTTAAAAAACAAAAAATGTTGATGACTATTGTTTTTTTTTCATATATTTCTACAGGTGTTCATATTTTCGTTTTTATTGGAAAATTATCTTGGGTTTGGAAACAGCACAGAGTCTGAAATACATTTTGTTTTTAACTAATCAATCGTTCTTTTAGATTAAGAACGATACGTAACATAATTGGCAGGTATCTAATCAATACCATAAGTCAATAGATCAAACAAAATGAACAACTTACACCATTCACCAACGTGAAAAAAATTAAGTTCTTACATCTAACTAAAACTAAAGCCTATATACACCCATTTCCCCCTTCAACGTAGAGTGAACAAAATTTAAAAAAGCACAAAACAAAATTAAATGAACAGATCGAAGTTTTGGTATCTATAAATGAGGTTGGTATGTACAAATATGTACAAATGGGTGATTTTACAGAACTTACTTAATCTACATAATCATACATAGAAATTAAAACATAAGTGTACATCTACACTACCAAATGTTGACTTCAACGTACACGTGTATAAAACTAAGAGACATTGTAAAAAAAATGGTTAAAATAGTCAACAACTGGAGTTTACCAAAGGTTGATATATTTCGTCTGTATTCATTCATTTTAGTTATGCGTTGACTTTGCTCGACCGACGGAAAACAGTTTGGACATATTCGACCAATGAAAAATTTTTCGACTGCATTTGAGCGATAAAAAGCAATTTCGACTACAATCACCAAGAACTTTCGACTAAATCTTAAGTCAAAGACTTTCCAAGCGATTTTCTGTATTCATGGAATTGCATTTAAATTGTATGATTAGAAATTTTTCATACATGGAAACTGAATTAAAAGCATTCTTGGTCATTTTTTGATGCAGAAGTGAATGAACTAGATTAAAAATTTTATAGGGTCACGCTGACGGAGTTGCGAAGTGAATATCAATTTCGCTTAATAATAATATCTAAAATAAGTTTTCAACTATAACACTAAAATATCTTTTTAAACAGTGTTTGAGATTTTTATGGATTCTACTCGGACAAATTTGTTCTGTCTGGGCCAAATGGCCAAATTTGGGCAAACCAGTCCAAGTTGGCAAAAGTGTGCTGTTTTTAGCCGTGATTGATTGATTGAACTAGGATACTTCTTGACTGTGTTTGACTGTTTTGTTGTCATAACTTTGTCTCAACAGTAAGTTTTTGGTCAAACAGGTTTCGTTCTGATTGTCAATACAAAGAAAATAGCTCCACTCGTGAGATCAAAATTACTCTGAGCTCATTTTATGCTTCTAACTTTGATAAAAAAAAAAGAACTCCATGATGAAAATTTTATATTAAGGAGCTGAATATGCCACAAGTTCGAGCTGTGTTTTTGTGAGTTGTGATGCGTGAATACAGATTTGTTGCGTGATCCGCAGCACAGCTATTTTTTGCTGATTTTTTCGCTTTTTTATTGCACGAACAAAAATAAATGGAAACAAGGTATTGCTCAAAATGGCTTCAAAAGCAGCCCAATTTGCGGAATCCAGAACAATTTGCAGATCCAAAAAAAAAACAATTAGGCCTTTATTACATCAAAGATTATAGTTTTGCGCATTCCGCTTACATTTGGCGGAATCTGCTTTTATTTGGCGGGATTTGCTCACATTTACGGAATCCATATCAACTAGCTATAATAGCTCTTTGCGGAATCCGCGATACTAACAATGTGCCGACAAAATTTACGTTACAAGTTAATTGTGCGCGAAATCCACACAAAGTTTCTAATTAGAACTCAATTACATTTTTGAGCCTGTTTAAATTATTGTCAATTACCTACACACATTGAACACACATTGAATCAGCAATAGTCAATCTAGAGCATGATTTTGTCTCGTTAACTACAATGATGATCAGAAATTGCGATAATTATAAATGAAACAAAAGGTTATCATTTAAAAACTAGGATTAATTGATAGTTATTATTTCCACCAACAACTGCTGTGATCAAAAAATCACCGAAGAAAGAATAGTTTTTATGAGCAAAAACAAGTTAAATAAAAAAAGTATTTCAGACTCTGTGCTGCTTCCAAACCCAAAATAATTTTCCAATAAAAACGAAAATATGAACACCTGTAGAAATATATGAAAAAAACAATAGTCATCAACATTTTTTGTTTTTTAAAGTCGCTTTAAATTTAAATACTCTTTTTTGATAATTTTCTGACTAATAAACAAGTTTTTTATGCCAAAATAAGACCAATAATACAATCATAGGGTCTGTTTATACCAGCAAATTTCTTGGTCAAAACAATAGCCTCACAATGATAAAGAAAACTTTATTCAAATGAGGTCTTAAAAGATAAATGTAAACATGGTTTCTTCATTCAACTGTTTTTAGGTCTCAAGCCCTAGGTTCATCAGCGTAAAAAGTTAACTTTGGCTGCAAATTGAAGTGATTTCAAGAAACACAAAAATCATAAAGCTCTTTTCTGTGATAGTGCCCTAAAGTAAGAATGCTAAATAAGCTTCGATTCTAAATGAGCTCTCAATTTCAATCTAATTTAAACATATCAAATGCAAAAAATGCGTTTAGAAAAGTGAACAAAATCGGCAAAAATGGATAAAAAATTGTTTGAAATGTATGTTTCTCCCACTCGTTAGGGCACTGAATTCAGACGAAAAAGCATTATTGTTATGACATTATTTACTTAACCGGGGTGCCGAACATCAAGGTGACAAGACTTAAATTAGTCAGCCAAATCGTAAAATTAGGGACTTCAAGCCAAATAATTTTTCCCAAAGTGATTGTTTTGTACATTTTCTTTGAAGAACTTCACATTTTTATGATCTTTCTTCACTATTTAGTGGCGTTTTCATAAAAATTAAGCCTCCAATCATATCTAACCTTAGACCTATTATAGGTTTAGGAAATTTGAAAAATAAAACACAGTTGAAGGCGTTATTTGTGTTTATAATTTATGCATTTCAAAAACCAGCTGATGTTGTTAACGAACGCCAATATTAAGTGGCGCATTGTCGCAAATGATACTTATTGCGGACTAAATCTGCCTACTTTTTTGAAAAGCAACGAAAATTTGTGATTTCAGATGCTTGTTAAGATTAAATTTCGGCCTGAAGTCCCTTCGGCTTGAAATCCCATTGGCTTATTGTCGTAGACCCACTTAACCGATTACAAACATCGCAGCTTTAGCATACTTTGTCAAGTGATTTAAAACTATCTAACTTTAGACCTATCAAAGTACGATATTGATAAGAAATGAACGCAAATATTTACCTTGTTTAGCTCAATCAAAATTTACAGTTTTAATAAATCCTGAGACGAACCCTGCGTAGATATTTGAATAGAAATAAAGATTTACGCAATAGATTCAGGCAGTTCAAACTTTGGAAAAAACTTCATAAAATAACACTTTTTGCCGAAATTACTGTTAAGTAGTTAAAATTCGTTTTACTTATTCTTTTCAACAAACTTATTCTTGTCTATTTTTAAACAAGTTTCCCTGATTGCTTTTCCAAAAACAGAATAATTGTCAAAACTAGTCTTGAGAGGACTTCAGTTGGAAGAAGTTACCCGAGAAGCTACTGTCCTTAAACTAAATCTTTCAGCAAAAAAGTAGTAAATTCATTTATGTCGTCAGAGGATATTGTTTTGACTCGGAAACCAACAACTGCCATTGCGGGAATCTTCATCATCTCCAATGCTGCCCTAGGGGCAGGCACTCTCGCATTTCCAGTCGCATTTGCCAAGTCAGGACTCATACTCAGTTTCCCCCTCTTGGGAGTTAGTGAGCTTCACTTCTTATTTATTTCATGTGTTAGTGGGAGTTAGTGAGCTTCACTTCTTATTTATTTCATGTGTTTTCCACACCTCCCCCATTTTTCAAAATTTTATTTTGGAGTTTTTAATTGCGTAATTTTGGCTAAAAATGTAAACTTACGACTTAAATTGTGAATAACAATTCTGTTCACAGATGTTAGTTCGTTCACCATGCCAAGTTCCATTGCACTATGGCAACGCTAGCGTAACCTTCTCATTTTGAAATTGGCAGGTGGGTGAGGTAGTGGAAAAAACTTTTATTCGGGTCATTAATAAACCGTCTAAGTAACAGAAAGGCGACAAAGAATTATTATTTTTTGTTTCCAACCAACAAAAATGAACGAATATTTTACTCAATTTTTTCTTGTAAATTCAATTATCATATAACACGCATGCCTGAAATATTGACATTGGTGTTTGAATTTACTTGAATTTAGAAAAAAAAGGACTGTGTGTATATCAGGGTGAATCCTTGAATATTCAGACCGCACTTAAGAACAAATTAAAACAATTTTTGGTTGATTAATTGACGAAATAACTGAAAAAAAAAAGTTTTTTGCTCATTTTGTTTCTTCATTTGATCCCACCACGCTATGTCAAAAACAACCTGTTATTCAAAAAACTAAACTGCCCTAATCAGTTTAATTTGGAATTAGTCCACCGCCTACAGATATTACACGAAAGCAAAATAGTGCGCGTTAATTATTCAAAATTGACCATTTTAGCATTTTTTAAACCCTCATACTTTTAGGAAAATTGATAACGGGCAATTTATTTTTCTTTATTTGAGCTCCAGTCAACAATATGTTTTGAATGCAGTAAGTAATTTTGGTCAAAAATATTGTTGTTAAAAAACTTCTGTCATAATTTAGCTTGAAAACGAATTAAATTCTGGCTTTTTTAGTTTATAATTACGCAAAAACAACCAACTGAATTACTGACAAAATTATAGCAAAACTAGTCTCGAGAAAATTTGAACAAAGTATACCGAAGCTTCGCAAATCTCCAAATTTTTGTGGAAATAAGTTTAAAAAAGTTTTTTTTTATCTAAAAAAATTGAATTTCATGTAAAAAGGTGAAATTTTCGGGCTATAAAAAAGAGTTCATATATACAAAATTGAAAAATTACGTTATTCTTGAATTATAAGTAACGATATAAGAGGCTCGCTGTCATATTTTTTTTGTCAGCAACTGAATGGGTAGTTTTGGTGTCTTCATTTTTTAGGCTAAATATTTACTCCATTTTATTTTTGTTAAACTTTTAGCATGTCAACCGACTGAGAAAAAGACAAGTTTTAAATTTCAAATTTTATTCATTTTGTTTGGATATTTTAAATCAGCTCTGTAGTCATAAGTCTGACAGATTAGTCATGGGCGGAGCCAGGTGCGGATCTAGGATTTTCTCGAGGGGGGGTTTGAACATGTATTAGGCCTGCAATTTTTTTTCAACTCTCATCTGTTGTTTTATGCTTTTTAAAGAAAACTTTTGGCCCATTGATTTCCCATTGCGTTCTGAGCCCTATAATGCAAACGTCTTGGACTGCTTAAGTCTCAACAAAAAGGAAACTTTGCGAACGAGTTCCGAACGACCAATCAAATCACCTGGCCAGAAAAAGATTTTTAAATTTTTAATCTATAGCCTAATCCTTTCAAATAATTTCATCAACCACGTTTCGAAGTTTCAGTTTTTTTATGGGTTAATTAAGAAGGTGCAGAAAAAAGGACAAAAGCGAGATAAAATTGTTCGTTTTGTTGCCCTGAATGAAAAATTTGCTATTTTTCCCGTGCCCGCTTTCTACTACTCAAAACGAAAACTCAACAAGAAAATATCGCGAATTATGTCGCTTTAGGAATCGATTGAGTCCTAAAAATTGTTATTAAAATTTTCAAATTCTTCGTTTTCTTCGGAAGGTTAAAATTAAATTTTGAAAAAAATTTAGTCAAACAACGCCTCCAAAAGCGTAAACTAAAGAAATTTCAATGAATTAGTGAAATATTTGGTTCTAATTATAAGTTTCAGGTACATTCTTTTCAGACACTGATAAAAAACACGAAAATTCAAAATTAAAAAATGAAAAGTGCGCTCTTAAATAATTATTTTCGTCATTGTTCCTTTTTGCCATAATCATAAGTGCGCTCAAAGAAATTAATAATGTTTGCTCAACTAAATTCGATTCGGTTCAAACACTGTTTTCCTGAATAAGGCGTAAAAAAGCAAACGCTTCTTAAAATGAGGACGGGAGAAATGTTTGCTGTGAAAACCGAACTCTGATTTTGACTCAAATCTGCGATTTACAGCAGATCAGGGCGATTTGTTTTCCCGGTTTTAGGTGTGCGTGGTGCTATGTGCTCTTTCTCTCTCGGTTGTCGCATTTGCTAATTATGAGACAGGTATTGCCAAGTATGATATGTAGATCTTTCTTTAAGACCATTTATCCACGGTGGAAAGGACCAACACAAGAGCTGTACAGCTCATCACGGCGAACCGCTGTTGTGCCCTTGTTTAAGAACTACATGCTATTTTTTTGGTTATTTTTCTGGGCTGGGTAATGTTGCTTCACCCTCAAGCAACGAGCACGGATCATGGTGGTCCTCGAACATCCGACCTTTCGATTGAGAGGCGGAGACGTAACCACTACACCACCGCTCCCCCATCTCTCGTGAAGAAACGCATAAAATCACGGATGTTCAACAAACCTCCATATTTGAAGCCGAAATTACATCAGAGTTGGAAGCTTTTGATTGGTTTGTACTTTCTCCTATGAAAAAGTACCAACCAATTACATCAGAGTAGGAAGCTTTTGATTGGTTTGTACTTTCTCCTATGAAAAAGTACCAATCAATTACATCAGAGTTGGAAGCTTTTGATTGGTTTGTACTTTCTCCTATGAAAAAGTACCAAACAATTACATCAGAGTAGGAAGCTTTTGATTGGAGTATTTATTTTCCATTTGGTCTTTCTCCCATGACAAAATAGCCCCCCTCCCCCGAGCTAATTTTAGTTAGAGACCAACCTATCATACTTGTGTAAATGTGTAGGCACAAAAGAGTACTATCAGGCCATGCGGTTCTATTGTGGTCCTTGGATGGAACTTCTGTTCAACGTGGCTATCATAGTGTCCAATATTGGCACCTGCATTCTCTACATGATCACAGTAGGCGATCAGGCAGACCAAAGTAAATTTAAAAGCAAAGTTATTTCTTCATCATCACCATCATCATTGGATTCTCTAATCACCTTTTTTATTGAAAGTAGGGTAAGTCGCCTTGATAATGGTCTAGGTTGTTCCTTGATATCAGTCCCGAGTCGAAGTTTTTGCCAGTTTTTTTTTCTATGGAAAAAACTGAGTCAGGGAAACTTTTAGTGTGACATACCCCCGTGTTATCACAGAAAAATTGAACCCAAAAACACCCAAAGGGTTCCAAATTTAGTAGTTTGGGCCATTCTTCCCCTTCCATGGCAAATTTGGGACCAATCTTTGAGCTCCCTCGTTCATTTTTGTTCAAAAAAGAATGACTCACGGGACTAGAACTCATTCACGGTGTATCTACGGTCTTCAGTGTTTCTCCTGTTCTGCAATTCCTTAAATTTACTCATGATTTGATTTTGTAAAACCGAAAGTGAGAGATAATCATTCCTAATTCAGCATAATACAATAAGTAAGATAATAAGGCTTAAAGGGTAACTTACAGCACTGAGTCAACACTAATTCTTGAGGACGTGGGTTGAGAGGCAAGTTATATGCGACTGGAACGCTACAGATTGTGTGTTCGATCCACAGTGGGATCTTTGGTTTTTTTTTGCTCAAAATTAAACAATCAGCGTTGATCCAGAGAAACTTCAACACTGTTTCAGAGATGATACAGATTGAATTAGAACTGAAATTTCAGCGCTGAATCATCGATGATTCAGTTTTGATCTTGGGTGGACAGACGCTGATCAGAGACTGAATCAGCGATGATTATACCAGCGACGCCAACCCGTTTTCCGGAAATTGGCTTCATTCATTTTCCTGTGTTGGGAAAAGTTGAGCTCAAAAATCTGCTTATTCATCTTTTGCTTTAAATTGTGCTCATTGAGCTTCTTTCGCAAAAAGCTGGGCTCATTCAGCTCGTTTTCTTAATAATTGGACTCATTCAGCGTCCTGAAAGGAAAAATTCAGGGCAAAAAAAGCAAACCTAATTCACGTCTGTTTTTTTTCTGCAGGCTGGAAATTGAGCCGACTTTATGTGAAAATGAAAAAAAAAATCCCATATATTCACTTGTACACTTATTTTCGAAAAACTATCGAAATTATCTCTGCAAAAGTTAAGCGCAAGGAAGGTTTCAATATTCAACAGCAGGTTATATAAAAAACTTTGAAGAATTTTCAATTTTTCAACCAATAAACCAGTTTCAAAGTTCAAAAAGTACAAATCATACAAGAGCAATATATAATTTATTTGACTTATAATGATGTATCCAAGAAAAAATGGAGCATACCCGGATCCAAATTGGGCCTCAATTCAAGTCAAATAGATTATATATTGCTCTTGTATGATTTGTCCTTTTCGAACTTTGAAACTGATTGATTGGTTGAAAAGTTGAAAATTATTTTAAAATTTTTATATAATCTAACCTGCTGCTGAATATTGGAAACTTCATTGCGCTTAAATTTTGATAATTTTTTTGAAACTGAGAGTACAAGTGAATATGTGAGTGTTTTTTTTCATTTTCACATAAAGTCGGCTCAATTTCCAGCCTGCATAGAAAAAAACAGACGTGAATTAGGTTTGCACTTATCACGTTTTTTGGTGATAGATAAACCATCCGAAGATCAACAGCCGACAAAACGTTTGTGTACCCGTGTTGAAATCCGTACACCATAAATGCTTGTACACCGTGTATGGAAATTTTTAATAAAACAGTCTGGTGATGAAAAAACCGAGGTTTTTATTTTTTTTAAAAACGCATATCATACAATTCCCATATAAGGAAATGGTATGACTAGCATTTTGTTTTGCTGGCGACACAAAAATTTTTCCAAGTAATTTTGAAATTGCTCCAAAAATTTTTTTTTGGAGTTTTTTCAACCTCACAAACTATTTCCAAAAAAAAATTCGCACACAAAATTTAAATTTTTGTGTGTATAATGTAGACCTGGATACACTAAAAATAGATTTTTTTCCTTTTCGCTTAATATTTGTTTTCAAAAACGCTGAAAATTTCTTTATATATATATATATATATATATATATATATATATATATATATATATATATATAAGCTATATAGGAATTGTGTAACATTTACCACCAGAGTTATGGAATTTTATTCATTTTATGTATTTTTTCGGCATGCTTATAAACTCCACGCATGTTCGATTGGTTTATACTTCGGCTTGTTTGTCTATTTACCCTTTTTTCGAGACAACTCAAGTAACAATTAAAAAAAACGTTAGATGGGCTTCACTGAAAAATCATTTAAGAGGCCGCTCAGACGTGATTTGGGCTGCAAGGTAAAAATAGGTGTAAATATACTGTTATCGAGAAAAAAAAGAAAAAAAAATTAGCTCGGCAATAGTGGCAAAACTTTTACCGCTAAATCATCAAATCAGATAGAAACAACTTAGAAAGACCTATCTGTCAAAAAACTGCAATTAATTTGTCAAAATTTCGTGGGCAACGTTGGAATTGAGATACGAGTTCGCTAATTACTTGTCAAATTGCATTCTTTGCAGAAAACCCATGTAAATGATGTTATGTTCAATTTTGGTTTCGAGAACTTAACCGAATTTGGAGATCAAAAATTTTGAAACACCAGTTCATCCATACTTCATGAATAATCGAATAAACAAATATGATGATAGAGCAGCAAGGTGGAAGTTTTTGTTTGCAACATTAGTTTTGTTATAAGTTTGCCAAAGAGAGTTTTAGACATCACGCTAAAAAAACTTAAGCACTTGTTAATTAACAAACGAAAAAACTAAACAAACGAAAATAAACAACTAAAAAATTTATAGATCCAGTTTTTGAATCTTTCTTTGAGTTTTATCACCTCGGTTCTACATCAGTTTTTAAGGAAATGTTCTTAAAACTTGATCAAGTTCAAGCACATTCAACAACATTTTGGACCAAACTGAAAAAAATCTATCATGACGGGAAAAATGAAACCAGCTCAAAACAGATCCTCCCGACTGTAAAACCAAAATAGAGTAATACGTTTGACAATAGCTTGGCCTCGTAATGTTTGGGTTAGTGGAAAGTTTGTGTGAAACTTCCGAGAATTAAAGGTGACTTCTACTGCAAAACCGCTGTCTCAGAACACCAAAATGGTTAGTTAGTTGTGAACATACGTGTTGTCGACTATCGACAATTTTTCCAAACATGGCAAAATTTTTTAGCTGCATTTATGAAAAGAAGAAATTCAGTAATCATTCAAAGTATGCAAAATGTGCGTTTTGTTTGTGCAAAGCGGGAATCTCTAATCAATTGAGAAAAAATCTCCTATCAATCTCTGATCAGATAAAGCACTCAAAAATATCGGAGAACAAGCAACTTGTGAATTGAAGTAGGCTTCAAAATTTCTGTCAACAAAAGTGACATTTCGGAGAAAAAATATTCTAGATTTGCCAGCAATCAACAGGTTTTGCCATCCGCAAAAACATTAAACTTCTCATTCAACGTCAGTTTCTAATGAATGTGTCCAAATACAGTTTTGCTTCTTTTTTTAAACAAAATTATTGTTCTGACTTTCGTAACGAAAGTAACGGAATATTTATGCTCGAAAGTGGGTTTTTTCTTCAGACAAATTTCAATTTATTAACTAGCCACTGTTGACGGAATTTCTAAAATATCATTCTAAAGTTATTGTTGTCCTGAGCTTAAATTTGAAAAAAATTTGTACCTGTGATCAATTTTCATAAAGTCATGGGGGTTTAAAGACTGTCATTTTGATCAATTTGGGTCATTTAACTCGCTATATATCAAATCTGCCATAGAAATCGTTCCAAATTGGTTGAAGGAAACTTAATTGCAATACTTGCTTTGTTAGGAGCGAAATTTATCACTTTGTACTTTATATGGCGTGTGGGGGACAATTTTTCTTTAAAATCTCAAACTAAAAATTACTGCTCGTATCAGCACGAAGCCTTGATTGTTCCGACTGTCTTTTAAGGTATATGAAGCAGTAATAAAATTCAGTAATAACATGAAAAAAATTAATTCTAAAATTACGAGGCCAAACTGTGCACTAGATTTGTGTCTGTATGTTCCTGGATTCCAGAGACAACTCTTAAAACAAGTTGAAACTTTGTCGTATCGATCAAACGAAATGAAAGAACAAAAGAAAAACAAAATGAGCGTCCTCGTTGCGGATTACGCTTACAATTCACAAAAAGCACAGTTTGGCCTCGTAATGAAGGAAATAATTATTGTTTTTTAATTTGAAATTTTATGTGAAAATCCTACCCCCAAACGTCACATAAAGTGTAAAGTAATAGATTTCAATCCTTTTAACAAACCAATTATGGCATATAAGTATCCTTGAACCAATTTGGAACGATTTCTAAGACGGATTAAATCTCCGCCTACGCGTTAACAGCGCGAAATATATCGCTCGTTAATTGTCCCAAATTGGATAAAATGGCAATCTTCAATCCCCCATAACTTTAACGAAAAATGATCACAGGTGAAATATAATTTCAAACTCAAGCTCAGGACAAGAAAGAATAGCTTTCGAAATGATATATAAAAATCCGTCAAAATGGCTAGTTAAAAAGTCAAAACTTATCTGAAGAAAAAAAGCCCATCCCGAGCACAAATATTCCGTTACTTTCGTTACAATCAATAGTCGGAACAAAAATTCATTTTATTTTGTTTATATTTAATTTTTTCATGTTTTTACAGAGAAATACCCTGAAATTTTGACATCGAAGAAGAGTTACATTAATAGAAATTGATTAAGCAAATCAGACAGAAAAACTTCTTTTTACGAGAACTTCAAGGTGCTGTGATGCTACAAGCTTTTTCAGTTGCCATTTCAATTCCACGAAAAAAAACTCAAATTTTTTTATCTCATTTTTTTCGCAGATTTGTTTACACCTGAAGGGCGTAAGTTAGGTACTCATTTGCATAAAAACCACAAAAATAATCCACAGTTATACGGTAATTAGAGGTTTATAAAATTTTCCAGGTAGGCTTAGGTAAGAAAATGAGGAATATTGAAGTTCAGATGTTTTTTTTTCATACAAATTTAGCCAAAGGAAAAAATATTTTCGTCATTTTATTTATATAAATTTGCGGGCGTGTGAAAAATTCAAAGTTGAACAGTTTTGACCAAGTTAGATCCTGAAATTGATCGAAATCCTTTCAAGGTAATCAATTTAATTTACACGGTACAAGAAGCAAACTATATCACTTCATGCTTCAAATAGCGTGTTAAACAAATATTTGGAAACAAATTTAAAACTTTTCCTTCCTCAGCCAAAATTGACTTGATGCTATTTTATTGTGTACTTGACACCATACCGTGAGGGGAGAAAGAGCCTCAAAACGTTGACATAACAAAACCAAAATTAATAAATCAAAATGTCGCTTTCAGCTTTAAACAGGGGCGGATCTAGGATTTTCTAGAGGGGGGGGGCGGATTTTCAAAAAAAATGAAAATTTTGTCGAGCTTTTTTTTTTACTTTTTAGGCCGACCAAATTGAGATTCCGAGCGGTCCCAGAACAAAATAAAGACTTAATTTAGACAAAATTTTGTTCGATAAAAAATTTGAAAAAACAAGTCCAAAAAGCCGTGTTTGGGCACTTATAAGAAATTTTTGAAAGAAAAAGTACGTTTTTTTTTGGCGCGCGCTCCCCCTCAAAATTAATATATTTTGGCGCCTTTAGAAAAACTTTATGGTTCGTCGGCGAAAAATTGATTTCTTGAAAAGTACCAAAGTGAAGACCTTTTGGGTCGGCAGGAGGTCGAATCCCTGAGGCTGAGAGCTTGGCGACCCCCCCCCCCCCTCCCCCTAAATCCGCACCTGGCATTTCTTCATTTCAGTTGTGAACCGAATTCTGGACAACAATGACGATTCAGAAGACAACCTGTGGTATGTGAACCGGAAATTCACCATCACTGTTTTAAGCACCTTCATAATCCTCCCCCTTTGTCTGGCTAAGAACATAGACTTCCTCAAGTACCCCAGTAGTCTGGGGGTGTTGTCTATGGTGTATTTGATGGTGGTCATTGTGTGGGACTACTTTGAGGAGAGGGGGGAGGAGACAGGTGTGGAGATTGACAAGTAGTAAGTAGCAAATCAGCTCAACCAAGTCAATCAGGAGCAGACTCTAAGAGTGAAGGAGGGGGGGGGGGGGGTTAGTCAACTATATTGTACGAGTTTTTTTCTCGAAAAACCAGCTTATTGAAATTGTACAATCAATTTGAATATGAATAACCGCAAGCGCATTACTGCGAAGTCTGCTTCAGTAGAAATTACTGCCCATAAGTTTAGTTATCCCAATCAATGTCGCAAGTTTTGTCAAATTTCAGTTTAAAATAGGTTTCTGAGTAAGGCAAAACTCAGGTTTTTTTCGAGAGGGGATTAAGTCGTGTTTCAAAAACTGTTCGACACTTTTGTCGACGATTTCAGGTCTGCCAAGTTATTTGTTACAAACCTAAGCCGATAGGTTTTCCGTAATCTTGAGTAGTAAGGATACTGAACTCCCAGCCCCTAAACAGTTTCTGTTTCTGAGGCTTCTAAGTTCAAATTAAAATTTTCTACAAATTTCACAAAATTTCTCAAAACCCTATGAACTTGCGATGTTTTAGTCCTTCCGACTATGCCAATATATTCGATGCATTTCCAACAATTCTTCTTGCATATCAGGTAACTATTCTGGTCTGAATATTTGAGACAAAATTGATGCCTTGTAAAACCGTTTCGACGTGTGTTTTTCACGTGTAATAAATGTGTTTTTGTCGTGTGGTTTTTATCAGCTTCTCCCGGAAAATGTCTTGAAATCGTCCCACTTTTTTGGCGCTTTGTTTTGATTTATTTTTTCAACTTTATTTATTTATTCGTTTTTTTCTGAATTCATTCAACTTTTTTGTCAACTTTTCAACTGTCTGTTGTTTGTATTTCCATTTTCCTTTATTTTTTCTTCTCTGTAATTTCATTAAATTTAGTGCATGTCGAATGCGTACCCTGTGTTCGGGAGTATGGCAAGTGTGTCCTTCCGAAATTACTTCATATGCATCAGTGGCAGTGTGTTTGTCTGCACTCTCGTCTATCTGCCAGTTGCACTCTTCGGATACCTCTCCAAGGGCGTCAATGTTAGTCATATCATACCTCAAAGAGTGCTCATTAGTTCGAGTGTTTCGTCGTCCTAAAACCCTTTCAGCCGTAGTTCGGATTTTATAAACGTTCCGCTCAGTGTCAAAAAATTCTAAAAGCAATTAGTTTACACAAAAAAAAGTGGGTGCGAAAGCTATTTCGAAAATTTGACGGCCTTTTTTTTATGTCGACCAAATTGATTTTCCGAGCTCTCCTAAAGCACTAATGCAAAATTTTGACAAAAAATAGCGTTTTTTTGGCGCGCGCTCCCCCTCAAAGTCAGTATGCGCCTTTAGAAAAGTTTTAGGGTCGGTCGACCAGAAATGGATTTCTTAAAAAGTACCATTGGGTCTGGTGGTTGTGAAATTGATGATATCTTGTAAACCCCAACGCACTAAAGTTTAAACTTTAAAGCAAATTCGCAACATTTTACCAAAAATTTTTTCTGGGGAAGGGCGGTTTTTCGATGACCTTTTTGTCAAAACTTTTTATAGGTCGACCAATTTGATTTTCGAGATCTCCGAAATACTAGAAGGACCATTTTTTGACTAATTTAAATAAAACAGGCCAAAAATGCCCTTTAGAAAGGTTTCACCGAAAAAGTGTTTGTTTTTTGAATGCTCTCTCCCCTCAAATTCAGTTATATTGGCGCCAGAGGTGCTTTTTAAAAGTTTTTGAAAAAGCCCAGACAAAAATGAGCGTCGTGAAATTAAACCAAAGACCGGACCTCGTAGCTCCGTTATTGTTACTTCGTCGAATGTTAAACCACCGTTCCTATAGTAAAGTAGTCTCCTTTTTTTTGAGATGAAGGCTTTATTAAAAGTCAATTTATTAAATCAAAAACTCGTATAAAACGAGGAGAGCCAGTTGTTATGCAAGTAGCACGGAATGTAACGACCACGATGTTTAAAAAAAATCATACATACAAAAATAGTTTAAAAAATCAAAAAAAAACATTTACATTTCAAATATAATTATATAATACCGGACTCCGCAAAAAAACTTCCGACGCCGCTTACAAATTGCAGACTCCGCTCATAAAACGCGGATTCCTCCCACAAATCGAGGATTCTGCTTACTAAGTGCGTCTAATTGCTTACAAAAAATGAAACTGGTTGGAAAGTAGGATTCCGCTTACTTAATGCAGATTCTACTCTCAAAAAGCGGAAACGCTTAAAACATCCGGACTCCGGTTATGAAACAGCGGATTCCGCTTAGAAAATAAGAGCTCCGCTTATAAAACGCTCATTCCGCTAACAAAAGGTGGATTTTGCAAACAAAATGCAAAACCCGCCTAAAAGTGGGGATTCCTCTTCCTCTTGCAAAATGAAAATTTCGCAATCAAAATGCGGATTCTGCTACAAAATGCAGATTCCGTCATCATTATGATGATTTCCCGAGAGCACAATCAATTGAACACATGAATACGTATTCGTACTCAATCTGTTCTGGAATTCATAAAATATGTTTCGAATTCTGCAGATTTAGCTACTTTTGAAGCGATATAAGGTTGTAGTCATTTGTCTGAAGACTCTCTTACAAGAAAGATGAAAAAATTGATTTTGTTGCTGCTTTAATAATTCAGTAAAGAGCGAATAAATAGAACTAAAACTGAACTTTGATAGATAAAAATGCTGGAAAAACAGTAAAACTCTATTTGTGAGGGCAGCATCTCATGTTTTTTGCTAACTCAGTTGGAAAACAGACAAAAAATTAGAACAATTGTCGGAGGAAATAATTTTTGATTTATTAATGAATTCAAATCATGGCAATTAGGTCTTCTATATAATAGAGCAGATGTGAGTTTTTTGAACATCTGCGAATTTTTTGAGATACCTGCAAGTGGATGAAAACACAAACACACTCTAAGCCATGGCATCTTCGCACCCCCTTTAGGTGGGATGGCTCGAAATAAAAATCTTTTAAGAATAATGCGCGCTTGAATGCAAAGGCTAATTTTAGTAATGTACCTAGTTACCTGATAAAATAATTGAATGAAAACACTAATTGCTTAAAACACTTAAGATATTTTTTGACCAACAAAAAAAATATTTTCAACATAACACGGAGGTTAAAGAACATGTGCTGTTTATTATACGTTTAAAAATTAACAAGTACGATTAGATAAATTTAGGTGTGGTTTTTATCAGCTTCTCCCGGAAAATGTCTTGAAATCGTCCCACTTTTTTGGCGCTTTGTTTTGATTTATTTTTTCAACTTTATTTATTTATTCGTTTTTTTCTGAATTCATTCAACTTTTTTGTCAACTTTTCAACTGTCTGTTGTTTGTATTTCCATTTTCCTTTATTTTTTCTTCTCTGTAATTTCATTAAATTTAGTGCATGTCGAATGCGTACCCTGTGTTCGGGAGTATGGCAAGTGTGTCCTTCCGAAATTACTTCATATGCATCAGTGGCAGTGTGTTTGTCTGCACTCTCGTCTATCTGCCAGTTGCACTCTTCGGATACCTCTCCAAGGGCGTCAATGTTAGTCATATCATACCTCAAAGAGTGCTCATTAGTTCGAGTGTTTCGTCGTCCTAAAACCCTTTCAGCCGTAGTTCGGATTTTATAAACGTTCCGCTCAGTGTCAAAAAATTCTAAAAGCAATTAGTTTACACAAAAAAAGTGGGTGCGAAAGCTATTTCGAAAATTTGACGGCCTTTTTTTTATGTCGACCAAATTGATTTTCCGAGCTCTCCTAAAGCACTAATGCAAAATTTTGACAAAAAATAGCGTTTTTTTGGCGCGCGCTCCCCCTCAAAGTCAGTATGCGCCTTTAGAAAAGTTTTAGGGTCGGTCGACCAGAAATGGATTTCTTAAAAAGTACCATTGGGTCTGGTGGTTGTGAAATTGATGATATCTTGTAAACCCCAACGCACTAAAGTTTAAACTTTAAAGCAAATTCGCAACATTTTACCAAAAATTTTTTCTGGGGAAGGGCGGTTTTTCGATGACCTTTTTGTCAAAACTTTTTATAGGTCGACCAATTTGATTTTCGAGATCTCCGAAATACTAGAAGGACCATTTTTTGACTAATTTAAATAAAACAGGCCAAAAATGCCCTTTAGAAAGGTTTCACCGAAAAAGTGTTTGTTTTTTGAATGCTCTCTCCCCTCAAATTCAGTTATATTGGCGCCAGAGGTGCTTTTTAAAAGTTTTTGAAAAAGCCCAGACAAAAATGAGCGTCGTGAAATTAAACCAAAGACCGGACCTCGTAGCTCCGTTATTGTTACTTCGTCGAATGTTAAACCACCGTTCCTATAGTAAAGTAGTCTCCTTTTTTTTGAGATGAAGGCTTTATTAAAAGTCAATTTATTAAATCAAAAACTCGTATAAAACGAGGAGAGCCAGTTGTTATGCAAGTAGCACGGAATGTAACGACCACGATGTTTAAAAAAAATCATACATACAAAAATAGTTTAAAAAATCAAAAAAAAACATTTACATTTCAAATATAATTATATAATACCGGACTCCGCAAAAAAACTTCCGACGCCGCTTACAAATTGCAGACTCCGCTCATAAAACGCGGATTCCTCCCACAAATCGAGGATTCTGCTTACTAAGTGCGTCTAATTGCTTACAAAAAATGAAACTGGTTGGAAAGTAGGATTCCGCTTACTTAATGCAGATTCTACTCTCAAAAAGCGGAAACGCTTAAAACATCCGGACTCCGGTTATGAAACAGCGGATTCCGCTTAGAAAATAAGAGCTCCGCTTATAAAACGCTCATTCCGCTAACAAAAGGTGGATTTTGCAAACAAAATGCAAAACCCGCCTAAAAGTGGGGATTCCTCTTCCTCTTGCAAAATGAAAATTTCGCAATCAAAATGCGGATTCTGCTACAAAATGCAGATTCCGTCATCATTATGATGATTTCCCGAGAGCACAATCAATTGAACACATGAATACGTATTCGTACTCAATCTGTTCTGGAATTCATAAAATATGTTTCGAATTCTGCAGATTTAGCTACTTTTGAAGCGATATAAGGTTGTAGTCATTTGTCTGAAGACTCTCTTACAAGAAAGATGAAAAAATTGATTTTGTTGCTGCTTTAATAATTCAGTAAAGAGCGAATAAATAGAACTAAAACTGAACTTTGATAGATAAAAATGCTGGAAAAACAGTAAAACTCTATTTGTGAGGGCAGCATCTCATGTTTTTTGCTAACTCAGTTGGAAAACAGACAAAAAATTAGAACAATTGTCGGAGGAAATAATTTTTGATTTATTAATGAATTCAAATCATGGCAATTAGGTCTTCTATATAATAGAGCAGATGTGAGTTTTTTGAACATCTGCGAATTTTTTGAGATACCTGCAAGTGGATGAAAACACAAACACACTCTAAGCCATGGCATCTTCGCACCCCCTTTAGGTGGGATGGCTCGAAATAAAAATCTTTTAAGAATAATGCGCGCTTGAATGCAAAGGCTAATTTTAGTAATGTACCTAGTTACCTGATAAAATAATTGAATGAAAACACTAATTGCTTAAAACACTTAAGATATTTTTTGACCAACAAAAAAAATATTTTCAACATAACACGGAGGTTAAAGAACATGTGCTGTTTATTATACGTTTAAAAATTAACAAGTACGATTAGATAAATTTAGGTGTGGCTCCTAAACGTTATGATTAACTATTAAAAACAGTTCAATCAAGTCGGAAACTGGAAACTTAGTTTGAAAACTGTCAGACATTTAAAAACTTTACCTGTTTGCAGTGCAGTTAGCACAGAATTTTCTTACCACAATCATAAACAGAGGCGAAACTGCGCTCTGCAAATACTTGCGAGAACACAACCAAAAAGCAGCTCTATGAAGTGACGGAAGAAAAAGTACAAACAAGCCTCGAATTAGCAAAAACTCGGCAACGTCTCGGATTCGAATCTGCCACCGAGCAAGTTTGAATCTCATGCACTAACCACTCAGCCAGAGCTGCTTAAAACACCCAAAACTGGCCACCAATAACGCAGCTACATATGCTATTAAATTACCAATTCGATATAACAAAAACAGCCCGCACCGAAGTTTCTCGGATAAAAATAGATTATATTGGGAAAATTTTGCCGAAAATATTGCCAATATAATCGATTATGTGTAACCAATTTAAGCAACATTTTCTATTATAATAGAAAGAAAATAGATTATTTTCATCAAGAATATATTGCCTTGTAATTCCACTAAAATATATTTTTATCTCCACATAATCTCAATAAAATCTATTTTTTTTGCCCTGAAATCGCCAAGAAATCGCAATAAAATCGATTGCTTTTGCCATAAAATTGCAATCAAATCTCTTATTTTTACCTTAAAATTGCAATAAAATCTATTGTTTTTGCCATAAAACCGCAACAAAAACTATTGCTATTGCCATAAAATTGCAATAAAATCGATTATGTTGTCAAAAATTTTGATTATATCGACAGAAAAATTGATTTTTCTCTGCTTAAAAGCATGCTATTTGAAAACTCAAAGCAAAAGTTCAATTCAAACCAAACGACACGAATCATGAAAATCATCAATATAAACAAGATTTTCGGCACAAAAAATATGCAACAAAAATACAAAATATCATCATTGTAAATCAGATTTTGTGCAAAAACAATTGGAAAGATTCCAGAAAATTGTCAATATAAACCAGATTTGAGCTTGAAAATATGCAATTCCGCTCATTCAAATCAAATTTGTTATTCGAGTTATGATGGGATAGAGTGAGGTCTCGAATGATGTAAGAACAAGACACGTAACAAAACTTGAAATTCAGTTCGAAAATTACTTAAAAGCTTGTTTTGTTGCTAAAAATCTCATATTTTCATGCTCAGGCAACTAAGAATTTGAAAAAGTTGGCGTCGCACATTTTTGTGTTTTTTTGATCGAATTTTTAAATCAATTTTGTCTAAATTATAATCTATCATAGTCTATTATAATTCCAATATAATCGAAATAAAAATAAAGCTTTTTAATGAATTGTTTTTTTCCATATAATCGATTATTTTACTCTGCTACCACAAAATCACCAAATAATTGATTATTAAAAGAATAATTTTTGGTTCGACCCTAAAATCGCCAGATAATATATAATAATCGGAGAAACTTCGGTGCGGGAGCACCAAATACAAAAAGTCACAAATTTGCATGTAAAAAAATGGAGGGCATAAAGCCAAATTATATATAAATTATGAATTTCGAAAAAACGCGAGATACATTGAGTTGGAAAATTTCTGAAATCGAGCTTTATATTTTTGTACTGCTGTTTCAATCAAATAACTTTTTCGGTTCGTTCGATGAACTAAAAATGCATCTGCTGTGTTAACTTTTAAAAAATAAATTATAAAGCACATATAATAACATACTTTATCGCAGCCTACCAATTCAAAAGTACCACCAAAAGTAGCAGTTTGTTTGTGATTTAGATTGGAAAAAAAGAAAGTTCGTACTAAAACACTTTGCTTCGCAAGTGTGAGAATTCCTCAAACTAGGGTAGTTTCTTGTGCATGGTTTGGTTAGAGAGCTATACACGCGCGTAGAAAGTTCGTGAAATAGGCAATATTGCCAACAATTTGTAGAAAAAATTAGCAAACTAACAAGTGAAAATACTTTCAACAAAAATTTTCCACAGTTTTTTCATTTTTTTGCACATTTTCAAAAAAGAAAATGTTGCAAGTTTTTTTTTCCAGGAAACCTCTAAGTGAAGCTTTCATAACCAACTTTCATTTAGTAAAATCAAGTTTTTTAGACTAAATGACCAATATTCATTAAGTGAACGTCACTCGGTCGCTTTAATCGTTCGAAGTTAGTCTGAAACTCGCAAATTTCAAGCAAATTTTTCTCGACCCGTCCCGATGATTGTTTATGGCACCTGCTTTAACGTGGGGGAAAAACTAGAACAAATCCGAATACACAGTTCCTCCAAAAGTTTTCAATGGTCGGAACAGTTATATTTACGGATTAAAAGATAATTTTATACGGTGTACCCATTTAGGTAAAGAGTAATGTGCTGCTATCTTACGACTCGAGGGACAACAAAGTCTTAGTGGCACAGGCAGCTGTCCTCATTTCAGTCTTGATGTCATACCCAATTCAATTTTGGGTACTCAAGTAAGACCTTTAACATCTTATTCGTCCTTCCTACCACCCCCGTTATCTATTTTTGTACCAATTCATTTGTCTACCCTATCTTCTTTTCTTCCATTTTTGGTACTTACTTTTTATTTTCAAAGTAATCTTTTATCAATGTTTTTAACCCTCCCCCATCTATGAAAGAACCCCCCGCCTGCAATTCTTACTTCCTTAACATATAAGAAATTGTCCGCATGGGTAAACTGTAGTCAAATGACCTGTTTTCTGCAAACTCCCCATATTTTTCACCCTCTATATCCACAAAATCACCCACTCCCCTATCATACCTGTCTAATTTGCATTAAGTGCATCTGGGACACTTGTGTTATCAAAATAAGAAGTGATAAACGAACTGAAACATGCCCTATTTAGGACGACCATTTTTTGAACTAATTTGAAAAATAAAGTGTGCTGTGCTCAATTAAGCGTTTTCATGTTAAATGGTACTGCACTCATACAAGCAGAGGCAAATTTGGGAGGGTGCGAACAATCTTATTTGGTTCTATTTCTTATGACTATTTTTTTGATTTTACGGAACAATTAGGATTATGAATGATGCAATTTAAGCCTCAAAAATAATTTAATGTAGCTTGCAACTGGTCGTTATTTTTTGTTCAAATACAACTTTGATCGGCTTTTAGGTCTTTTTCTTCCATGCGTGGTACTTTTTATTTATATAAAAAAAAAACATTTTATTGTTGCTTGAATTTTTCTTCCAATTTTGGTATTTTTTAATTCAATTTTTTTTTACCATTATTTCTGTTTCTCACAACAGGGAAAGTATAATCAAAGTGTGGCAATCCGGTCGCCAATTCACTTCCAGCAGTGACTACACTGATCCAGGCCTCACTCCCCTGAGGCGCTACACCATAGTGGCCATAGTGTTCACTCTCACTCTTGCTATGGCCCTGCGACTGCCTGATATCAGTGTGGCTGTGGCTTTCACAGGCTCATTTGCTGCCTACTTCTACCTCATATGCCCAGGTTCGCACTCGCTTAGATCAGTAAATTTCTTATAAAAAATTTGAAAAAAATAAAAAAGGTTTGATTTTATACTTTTTATGGTAATTATAATTGAAGAACCTTTTATTGTTTTTGAAAATAAATATGAATAAAAAATGTTCGAAAAAATCGACAAAAAGTTATGATTTAATATTTTTATTGTAAAAAGAAAATAAAAAAAAACCGAATCCATTTAAATCGTGTTCGAAACAATTTAAAATGTAAAAAACTGCGCAAAATGATTTTTTGATCCGTTTAGATTCTAATAAAAAAAATTGGCTCACAGCTATTCGGCTTATTGCAAAAGTGGTAAGCTGAAGATCATGTTCATAGTTGTGAATGCATACCTGATGGATTATTGGGTAATAAATTGGTGAACACGGGTGGTTTTACACTTTTTGCCAGGTTAATGCTTATTTAAAAAAAAATCCGTAGACCGTTGTAAGTCGACCAATTTTTCTCTTAGCAAAATTCGGCAAAAACTTTTAGCTTCACAACCTATTGTTCCGTTTTCTAGGCTTGCTTTTTTTATCAGGTCTTGTTCTAATCCAGACGACATACGTGAACGAAAGCGGTCAATTCATCTACAAATCAAACCCCAAAAAAGTTATCACATTTGAAGATTCAAACTTTCGACAAAAATCAACAACTCAAAGTTTACAGTCACAAGACGGCCCAAAAATATTCATTATTGAAAATGACCTGGAGAATCAGAGTAACTTCTTGGAAGAACATGATGTCTCAAAATCAAATTTGGATCCAGGCGTGAACAAACCTAAGTTTATGATGAACAAGTACAAAAATGGCGCGCTTTCATGGTCACTTCGAGTAGTTGGGCTGATTTTGTGCGCTTTGGGAAGTTTCATTACAGGACTTGGATTGGTAGTAGCTATTTATGGAGTTTTAGACATTCTATGACAGCTGCACGGAAGTAATCATACTATGGTATCATTTAGTTTTTGAAAGGATATTAGAAAATGAACAAAAATTTCAAATTTCTTCATTTATATCATTGGAAGATCACTACACTAAATTTTCATTACGCAATTTGAGAAAAGTAGCTGGAAACAAAACGCTTAGTGTGTCTACGATAGTCGAGATTCTTCTTTAGAGATGAGTCGGAACTTTGTTTTAGGTTTTGAGATGGGAAGGATCGTTTTCCTCTTAGAATGATCTTTTTCGTCTAACACTAACCCTAGTCCTTCACTTTTTTGCTCGTCTCAGTAAATCTAACGGATTACTAAAAACAGCGAGGTTATTGAAGCATCAACTTCTTTCTGATATCTTCTAAATGTGTCTGACTAAAAAAACTAGTCAATGTTTACAATAAAAAAGATTGGTTTACTAATAGAATTAGATTGCTAAGTAAGAAATACTTGAAACCCAAATAAGAAACGGAAAGCAAAAATTTAAATGAAACTCAGAACAGGTTGCAGTTAACAAAAAATGAATATGAGGAAAAACAGAAGCAGCTTAAAAGTTGAGCCGGAAAACTTATACCTGAAAAACGTCCAATATATTTTTACTAAGTCAAAATATGTTCCTATCAATCACAATTTCAAATTTGTTTTTTTTTTCAAATATTTATGATTAGTTAGTTACCTTTATACGATTTATGATTATTTAAAAAAAATGTTTACTTTATTTTTATAGGGAAATTACAAAACCAATTGAACCGATTTCAATTTACAAAAAAAAACGTTCAAGCTGACTCGTTGTCGAAGAGACTGGAAATGCGCAAATGGATTACTAGTAGAAAATTATAAAGCTTTATTGAGCAAAAGCAAATAAAACAAGACTGCTCGTATCAGGGCGAAGCCCTGAATATTCCGACTGCCTTTTAAAGTCTATGGAGAAGTAATAACATGAAAAAAACTGAAAAAATTAAATGTAATAAAATAAAAAGTTTTTTTTTTAATTTGAGATTTTTTTTTGTGAAACCAGCCCAAGCGCCATATCTAGATCGCGCGTTAATTGTCCCAAATTGGCAATCAATAAAACCCCATAACGTTAAGAAAAAAGATCACAGGTGAAATATTTTTCAAGTTAAAGCTCAAGATAACAATAACTTTTGATTGATACAAAAAATTGTCAAAAATGGCTAGCTAAAAAGTCGAAATTTGTCTGAAAAAAGTCTACACCGAGCACAAACATTCCGTTACTTTCGTTACGAAAGTCGAAACAACAAGAAGGTCTTCTATGCTTGCTGCCATTGACCAAATTTCAAGAAAAAGACTTCAACTTAGCCTTTGAAGCGGTCTAGAGCGGAAACAAAAGCAATGAGCTTCGACACAAAAAACTTGTCTTCCTCAAAAACAAACAGAATAGTCAAAATAGAGGAAAAAACTATTTTGGCAGATTTCAAAAGTATCTAGCAACATTCATAGAGCCAGATAACCCACGACAGTCTTTTCCAACTATTTTACTCACAATACATAGACTAAGAAAAGAAAAACAAAACTTCAAGTTTTGAAAGCATTTCTTAAATAACAGGTTTGCTTACACTTTTGCGGATTTCGCTTTACAAATCAAAAAAAAATTTAAGTAATTAGTCAGATGATTACTATCAGTTTTCCTAGGGTGTTACATCAAGAGCAAATGTGCTCGTCGTAGTGTTTTTGTGTGGCATTCATTGTAAAGATTTTAAACACGATTGTTTAAATGTATATCGTTATTTGCCATACTAAAAACCTATTTCGTTTTTCACAGTTGATTGTAAACAGAAAACAAAACTTAACATGGATAGCTGGTTGCTGTGCAAGTTGCACAGAGTGTTCCGACGACTTCCATAAAAAATGTATTAAAAAATTCCCATTTATTTCTGAATTTACTTGCAAATGTTAGACTAGTTTGATGCAAAAAAAAATCAGAAAAGTTACTCCTGAAAATCTTCCCGGAAATTTCTTCTAGTTTTTGTTCTGCAGAACAGTTGTTTAGCTTTTCAAAATTTTTTCACAGCCAAAATGTCCTAAAATAAATTTTAAAATTTAGTCTCCTTGAGTAAAAAAGGGTTTTTTACTGCTTAAACAAAAAAAATCCGTCTAAGACCTCTTAGCTTTACTTTCCCTAAATTGGACTAAAACTCCACAAGTTTAGATATATTTTCTTGAAAATGCAGTCAACTATTGAATTTTTTCAAAAACTTGTTCAAATCACAATTGTTCGAATCAACTTTGATCTATAAGGTTTAATAAATGTGGTACCTAATTTCGCGTGGACAATTTTAAATTTTTCAACGGTCGAAAAAAAACTGCGAGAAAAATAAACGATCGACGGCTGGTGAACTAGCCGACAGTTGTTTTAAGAGTTGAGACTGAAACAGATTCAGGGCAACCTATTGCAGAAAAATTTGACAATTACGCATTTAGATACAACGCATTCAAAAAACGCTGTGAAAAACTGTCTATAAACTGTGCGAAAATTTCTGTGATTTTTTAAACTTCATTTTTCACATTTTTAATTTCATTATGAAACAATTTTTAGGCTTCAATTAATGACTCTGCATATTGTTTCCCAACTAGCTTGAGAATTCCTAACGATATTTCACGAATCAGTCCAGAGTGAAGAAACTTATTACATTTTAAATACATTTGAGAAAAGTCTACATGTTGAAAAACCAGTAAGATGAAAAAATCTTAAAAAAAATTTTTGAAAAAAAAAAATGGAAAAAGTTTCAATAAAAAAAGTTGAAAAAACAACAACAATCAGTTTTATTTTTTTCCCAGTTCTTTTACCGAGTGGCCATTGAATCGGAAAAAAAACAAAATGTAAAGTTTTGTTTTGGGAAAAAATCTAAAATCATTTCAGAAGCAGTCGAAAAAGACAACCACCAGTAATAATTAAGCTTTTAGTTTCACCGCTCGAACACTTAGCCGACGTCAATGCAAAAAGTGGGTGGACGTCAATGCAAAAATCAATTATTGAATGTTCTATGCAACTTGGAATTGCCAAATTACACTTAGCGCGAAACAGTTTAAAAGCTTTCGACGCAGCTGCTGATGCAGGTGAGCTTTCCACAATCCATCTTTTCGATTGAAATAAAAAACTTGACTTTTCCGAAGGCCGTAATTTTTCGTGCGAAAAAATTGTTGTAGCTGCTAATACAGGGGAGCTTCAAGAAACATTCTGTTTCCAACTCAAAATTTCAGATTCGGGAGAGTACTTGAGAAAAGTCAAGAAGTGTGATAAAAATCAGTCACAGTTTTGTCTTCCCCGAGGATCATAAATTTTCGTGTGGAAAAAAATTGAGCGTAGCCGCTCATGCAGGGGACCTTTCGATTTATAAAAAAAAATTCCAAAGCGTCCAAAAATCCGATCCCATACACTTTCATAATACATGTTCTTATCAAAGAGGAACTTTCGTTAAAGACCCTCATGCCTTACTGCAGTCATTGCCGAAGTCGCAACATTCTGAATAAATTGCACATCAAGCGGCTATCTTAGCCGAAATGTCAGTTTCAAAATATCTCAATTTTAATCTTTACGACGGGACTTCAGACCTAAAAGCTTTTCGACAAGTCACCCTCCTAAAATTGTCTAGACCACGTATTCAAATGAGCGCTTTTTTTTCCTTTAAATTGTTTTGCAGATGTTTTATGTGCATTCAGCATATTTTGACGACCTTATTTATATCTTTTTACATGTCCACCTGTAATTCGCTAAAAAAAAGTTGATTTGAAAAATGTATTGAAAACGTTAAGTGACATTTGAATACATACGCATAAACATTTCGATAAACCTTTATGGCAACACATAGTCCTTCCAAATTAGAAACTTTAAAGTGGCAAAGGTGAAAAGCGAATCCTTACAACTGCATTAACTGCTCATCTTGTGGAAATGAATAACAACTCTTTGAAGGAAAGAAAACAAAAACTAAACGCGACAAAATAATAGGCTGTAAAATATTGACTATAACTGAGATCAGTTCTGAATTCAGCGCACTAGCGAAGACGAGTCATACAAAAACATAAGTTTCCAGCACTACTAAAATGTGAGCACTGAAACATTATGCGGTCTTTTTTGACTAAGAAAAATTAAAGAAAGTTTTCAGATTGCCTTTTTCATCAGCTCTGAAACTAGAGCCTAGCAAGGATTGATATGATTTCGGTGCTCACAAATTTTGTCACAGTATAATCCAGGAAATATGCTTTTTTTTTGCATCGCCGAGAATAGAATCTACTGAATTTTTCAATTTAACAAGGATTAATAACATTTCCATAAATATATGTCTATGAAAAGAAAACTAATACATTTGATATATAACTCTGAGAATAATTGATAGCTGAGAAGGAAAATTGTAAGATCATCAAATAATATCATTTTGAGGATAAAATAAAAGTTATGATGCTAGGCTATTAAGCAATATGTTAAACGAACGCAAAGAGGTAGCAAAAGAAAAAATGAACACCTTAGTAAAAGCAGAGCCCTTTAAATTTAAATTTATTTCACTTTAATCAGTGCTGTCAAAATTGCAGGATTCAATACAGGATATCTTCGCTCGAATCAGAGAACAGAAAGTGATAAACTAAAACAGATAATAATTTGCTCTAAATTAAAATAATTTGCACAAAATACACATTTTGACATTTAAAATTGAACGTTAGCACTGGTAATATAGACTATTTGGTGACACCGAAATATGTTACGTGCAGCTTCTCAATAAAAATAAGTTGCAATGCCTGGCGAGATTTCCATTTTCTCCTGATGAAACACACTGATCTCCAAAATTCAGTTTTGTATCCCTTTCATTAAAAATATTTTCAAGAGAAAATCGAACATCCAATAGTTTAACATAGTGGCTATGTATGAAAATAAAGAACTCTATGATAAAATCTATGTAAAAACCATAACATTTATCTTATTACTCTCGTTAAGTAAAAAAAAACTGCACCACCGATTAGGCTTTATAATACCGCTGTTTCCACTCCGCTGAGAACATTTATAATGAAACTAAATACAAACAAACTCACCCACAATTCACGGACGTCAAAACATCTATGATCTATCAAATTAGTATTTTACAAATTTTGTTAGTAATTTCGTACAAAGTTGTAGTAAAATAAGTTGTTCAGCTAGCTATATACAAACATGACAACAAACAACTTAAGATGTCCAAGGACTGTTCAATGATCTCCATGATAACCATCTAGTCAACGAAGATTAGTTCTGGTGAATGATCGTTCATGCTTGCACGCGTAAATACTCCTCTTCTGCGCAATTTACTGCAGAATTCGAAGCGCATGGTCAGCGGGCTGATGACAAACAGGGCAATAGGAGTTATTAGATTGCACGAGTGAGCTTACACAGTCGTAGCAGAACAGATTGTGACCACAAGGTACAAGCGCAGCTGAGATTCCGTTAGTTTTACATATCACACAATTTTTGATCGCCTCGTCGGGTACTCCTAGCACCGGCATTAGAGGTACTGGCAAACGAGCAGCGGCACCGTCCATACCACGATTAGCATTATTCACACCATTTAGCACATAAGTCCCGATTGGGTTTGCAATGGACGAAGTCATCGGTACAAAATGAGGATCGACCACTGAGCCACCAGCGGTCATAGCAGGTGCCCATTGCTGGGCGTGCAACGCAACTGAACTAGATGCAGATTCGTGCACATTTGGCAGCTGATTGTCTGAAGCTTTTCTGGCAGCTGCTGCGACTTCATTAGCAACGTTAGCGACCTCCGAACTATTGACGGAGACCGGGTAACTAGACGACCGCACAAGAGGCGAGGCTTCGAAGCTGAATGATGAGTAAGCACTTGATGACCCAGAAGATGATGGGTCGTTGGACACGCAACCCGTTTGCATGATATCGCTACAAACTGAAGAGTTCATGGGAAGCACAGATTTCAGATTGCCACCAAACCCATGATTCCACATGGCATATTGGTCATTCAAGCCATGTGCACTGGCCGATTCCGGTTGACCGTGGTCACCACTTAAGGCATCCAGGCTATTTCGTTTTTTGTCGTGTTTTACAATCGGAGATCGGCCGTTTGGTCCACCAGAGAAAATTTCTTCAAGAAATTCATTTATCTCTTCTGGCATGACAGATTCTTTGGCATAACTGACACATCTCTCCCCGTTCCAAGTATTAGCAACAGAGACAGCTGGAGCAATCGCTTTCTTTTCTGAGTCAATAAAAGTCCCAGTTCTTGCAGCAATATAATTAGAAATTTCTATACGAGCCTGCTCGACACTTTCAGGAAGTCCAGTTATTTCAAACACCGGATCTCGCTCTCTGCTGGGAGTAACTATATAAGTCTGAGTTTTGAGCTGAATTTGCTTGATGGTTTGACCTTTGGGTCCCACTACAAGTCCAACAACTCGATAAGGAACTCGGATCTAAAATTGAATACATTACACCTATATACCTTTGCGGAGAGCCAATTAGTTTATAAGAGGAAAAAGTCTCATGCTGTAACTTGAGGATACTTTATTTATCTGTTACCAAGAAACTATTGCAAAGTAATATAATTAAGAAATTAGATGTTTTAAATTCATAGTAGGCATGGCTCTACCGTTAAAAATATCATATCAGGTGGATTAAAGATATGAAACAAGTAAGCTAGGCTTACTGTTTTAGTTATCTGCCCCGGCTGAATTGGTGGTGGCGCGACTCCTTTTCTTTGCGCTCGGATGTTGGAGAAATGTTCCGACGCTTGCAAAATCTCGGACTTAGCCATATCGACATCCTCGCGTCTTCCAGTGATAATGAACACCGGTTCGTCTCCTCTTCCGGGAGTTTTGATGTAGGTGTTTGTTTTATTCCTGAGTGCTTTGATTTTGCAGCCTTAACATAGAAAGCCATTTCGAAGAAATTTTTGCTAAAAAGTAAATTTCAAACGTTTTCGCAACTATGTGCATCGTCAGGATTTTTACAATAAACTACTCTAAATGACGATAAAACATCAATTTAAAAATGTTATTTACAACAGCCATTTCAACTTAATCATTTTACTGATGACTCATCATATTAAAATTTTGAAAACTCACCTTGTTTACCAACAATTTCAGCTACATGTTCAGACGACGGCACGGGGATGTTTTCGGTAATATTTGCACTAACTCGGCGTCTTTCTATCTGTATTTGATCATTGTCTTCTGATATACTTGGGTGCGCATCCTTTTCAAACAACGTAGAATTCAATCCAATCATCGATAAATTTTCCAGCACAAGCTGCAGGGCCTCACGATCCTGCATTCCATGGTCTAAGGAAGATTTTGTGGGCATAGTCTCACACCCCATCTAATGGATTCGTTCTGAAAGGAAGGGAAAAGGCGGGGTAAAATTTTAGGTTTTTTAGCAGGGGATAAGCAGGCGAACGAGGTGTTGTTGCTCCTTATAAGTTGAGTCATTCACATTTCAGAAAATTGATGTCATTCCAAAACTAAAGATACAGTTCACTTGAAAACTGGCTATTCTGGGCAAAAATGAACAGTTTGAAGCAAAGACTGGTGTTGTTTTGAAAGAATTGAATTTGAAAAATTAAAAGATTTCATTACGAATAAAAACTTCAAATCGAATTTTGATATTGCCAAAATTGCAGAAAACGAAAAAAAAACACTCAAGAGAAAAAATCGTTGAAACATCTGAACAGAAACAGGAGTAAACGAGAATCTGATGTGATTTCATAACAAGACATTCTACTAAAAATTCAATCCGAAACCAACCACTAAAAATATTGAACGTTCATGGACCAGATCATTTCAACCTCTATATAACGATATCATTATAATGCTACCCTCTTCACATACAACAAAAGCATATCGACTATAGTCATATGAGATAAGGAAACTTGCTAATCTACTAGAGGTCCTCATCTTATGTTTCATTTTACCTAAATAAAATTAGGGTTGTCTTTACTGCCTGAACCAGATTTAAGTAAGTTCGAAGTTTTCGAATAAATGTCTTATTTTCTACATTCTTGAGCCATGCAAAGACTCTCTTCTTTGATCAGCTCAAATCAGATACAGCTCGATCGGCTTGACCAAAAACAGGTAACTCTCCTCACAGAAAGCCATAGTATCAAATTTTAAAGTTTTTCGATTATCAAAAGGAACAGTTTTGACTGCCGATTGAATATCTCCAATTGTATAAGTGTATTTCATGCTGTTTATTCCCATTAATGTCTGTTAAAAAAATAAATAGAATATACGGATAGCCGATTTGTGTGCAAGTGGCACAGAGTTTACCGACCATTATCATGAAAAACTACAAAAAAATTGAACCGTTCGTAACTTTTTTCAAAATGTGTTTGTTGTTTGTGTAGTACGAAGCGGGTATCACTGCGAGTGCCCGTGCAACAGCTAAATAGGCAGTAAAAAAAACACTTTTTTTTGAAAGTTAAAAGTTGTAATATTCCCCCGGAAGTACATATCGACGGAAAATAAAGCTAGGTTCTAAAACGATTGGCTAGCGTCTAAACACAGCTATACATGCTTCTCACCGTCTCTGTCAAAGCCAGTTCTTTTGTTGGTCTTTCTAACATCGGGTCGACAAAAACGTTACTGTTTCCGGCTTCGATCAGAACGCTCTAATTATTTTAATTATAGGCCAAATTAGTGAGCTCATGGCTGCGTCTCAGTATCCCCAGGTAACTCCTAAAAACAGCGCTACTACTTTTTCATTATATTACTATTGTTTTCATTCAGTAGATGAAATTATCATCTCCATCGAAGATGGATCAACCCTTTCCCTTAACTCCTAGCTCCTCATGATCTGAAAATGAATTTAGATGTTAATTGATTTCAACTCAGGACATCTCCAGAAAGCTGAAAAGTTGTAACATTCGTCTACTGCAGTCACACATGAGGCTTAAGAAAAATAGGCCCTATAACCATTGGCTCAAGAGTCAGGGACACTATCTCTTGTGTTTTTGTACCTCAAATCAGTCGGAGCCAATTCGGTTCGCTTGTGACATGAGACTACGACCCGTTACAGCTTAAAGGCTACTACTAAAATATCCCCCACTCTAGAATTAATAACGTCCCCATACTCAGGTCTCTAGATACCCAAAATACATGAACGCCGTTAAAAACCGGGTTGGAACAATCCGTTAAGTTACTTTTTATTAGACAGTGGAACTTTGATCCATTTCAGATGGATCAACCTAAAACTCGCCTTACCTCAACATAACGATCATAAAACACACTCTAGAAATTTAAATTAGGACTCACATTGTAGCACTCTCAAGAACCAGGAAGTAAATAAGTCGGTAAGCAACTCAAGAATCAATAAAGTAACTAAGATGAGTTTAATGTCCGTCAGTTTTAACAACAAAACAAGTTTTTTACTCTAGACTGTGAGTTCTCGTGAACCATTGGGACACTCTAGCTGTCCACCTTTCCAACGAAGGTTCACTCTGGTCCAGTTAATAATAGTACTCCAGTCACAACAATCCAGTTCGTGGGAATGCGCTCGTCTCTGTTTCAGATGGGACAGCTCTACTCTCGATTATTATTGCTACTGAAATTGCGAATAGCAATTTCCCACTGATTTTTCTAGCAACTTTCCCGCGATTGTCACTCGATCGTTCTGACTTCTCTTTTCTGATTTTCAGTTATCGCGAGAAAATCGTGCATGACAGGTTCCATTCGAAATTTTGAAAAATTAAATTTCACTCCAAAATTAAGTGCTTTTTGCTTCTCTCAAGGTCAAACTTCCAAATATGACCGACTGGCACATACTCCCCGGACTCGAGATCGATGTCCTCATTGCGTGCTGTCTTCTGCCAGTGAGTCCCAGAAAACCGAGTGTTACTCAAGATACAGTGCCAGTGGTCATTTACAGAAGTTTGCAGCAGACTTAAGCTTATCTACACCCCAAAATTCACAGCCATGTAAAATTTTCACACTATCGCTAAACAGCAATCAAAATCTGCACACACCTGCACCCTTGAATTCTTGCTTTCCAAGCCAATCATTTAAAATTTCTTTTGTCCTATTCAATTAGGAAATTGTCATGCAGCATTTTGATTTATATAATAAATATAGTATATTAATAACAATATTTGCTTTGTTAAAACTTCTTTTTCGTGAATCCAAGTTTCACCCGGATCCACGCTCAAGCCCCCTTTCCCCTCTCAAGACTCAAGATCCATACGAACCACCCACTCATCTCGTACTCTTCGCCTTGGAGGTACTACACCCTGAAGTACTAGATACGGCAAACTGTCTCAACAGTTCCTCTTCATCATCGGAGCTAATCACAATCTCCTCCCAAGCCTTCAGCTGCTCGTAGGAACGCATCCATTCTCTTTGCTCTTGCAACCTCTTTGCTTGGTTGGGTAGTGCCTTCACCCTGGATTCCCGGTTCAAACAAAAGGAGTTGTGCAGGCTCAAGCTCACGTTCTTCGCCAGGTCCTCCTCTAGTATCGATTCCCTCGCCTTGGTATTGTCTCTAGACATTTTACCCACTCTCTTCCATCCTGTCGTGATTGCATTACGATGGGTTAACAGGGGTCTCTTGAAAGCTTCCGGCCCAATCTCGGCCTGGAACTGTCGATACTCCTTTTGATGTTTTCTCATGTGATCTTTCGTTGTCATGTACAACCAGGACGTCAGCGTCGCCCGAAACCATGGGAAGTACCTCAAACGGCTCCAGACATGTCTGACTTCCGTTGGTATGGCGAATACCTTGCACGCAGTCTCAAACAACTCGAGTCTCCTACTGTAGTCTATCGCGTATATTGACTCTGCCGTTGGCGTCCCCGCTTCCCGATACTTCGTTATATTCTCTTCTATCCATCTCAGAGCCAAGATCGTACTCACTACCAAGATCGTCACCTTTTGTCGGTGATCCGGTAGTCCGATCGACCGGATTTCTTCCATATCCCACACCAGGCAAAGGTTCTTGTGATCTGGATACCACACCGTTTGCGCTAAACAGTGGCATGGGCATTCTCCATGGGTGATTTCAATGCTCCTGAGGTTACGTTCCCCCGAGGTTTCCATAAGAGGCTCAAGCTCCATCATTTTCTCATGCATCGTGTCGTTATCTTCCAGGTTTGGAGCACTTCCCACAGGTTTTCCGATCACGTTTTGTCTCTCGTGATCGCTTGTGTTCTCTCTCTCCAACTTCAAAAGTTCTTCTCCCCAGATTTCACTTAAGTCATCTCTCAATTCTTTTGGTACTGTCCCTCTGATTTTTCTCAACAACTTGTGCGAGTGATGCGATATCCGAGCCAACCTCACGCACTTGGGCACTGAGAAGGCCTTGTCCACCAGTACTCTCTGGCTGGATGCTTCCACCATCACCATGTGCAGTGGGTAGTGACTTACGCACAAGTTGGCCATCATTGACCCTATCAGCGATTTCGCGTTCAATGGCAAGCCATAAGCTTCGCTCATGGGAAATCCCATTTCCGCCTGGAGACCAACCTTCCAGCTCCGGATGTGTTTTTGAGTCACCTGCAACACCCCGGGCCATGATTCTACGCTCAACGCCGTCACTAAATGATGTTCAGATTCTAGTCTTTCCAGTGACTGCAGACTACACATTCTCGAGAAGAATCCGAGAGCTGTCGCTATATTCACCGTGGTTCTCGCGTAACACTCCGCTACTATTTGCACTTCACTTTTCTCCCTTTCTGTTATGTCTTCGAACCAAGTGACCAGGTCTTCTTTTTGAAATGACAGTATTCTAACGCATGACCGTCCATCGCAGGTGTGCTCTCCGTTTCCACACGTCGAATCCAGACAGCTACCCGGCTCCAATTTCTTTGCTGACCCGGGATTACTCGTCTTTTCGCCTGGCTCTTGCATCTGAGGTGAAATTAGCTTATGCAGCACACTCAACTTTGCCAGATCTTCATCTTCCGTTGGTGCTAACCTCACTCGCTCGGTGGTTTCCTCGATCAGACTCGCGTGGGGATGTGGACACCAGGAGGGTCTTAATAGCTTCCATACCACTCCCAAGTTCGTGGTTAACAAGCCATTTCCATCGCCCATGTTCACTTCAACTCTCTTGTTTGAACGCGGTATGCTCACCACCTCTGGTGTTTTCTCAAGAATCAGGCCCAGGCTCGGCCCCTCTTTTTCCATCGCGTCTATTTCCATTATTCTTTCTGTCCAAAACTTCAGTAGCTCCGCTACCTCATGGTTCCTGTGGGCGCCTCCAGCTTCCGAGTCTAAGAAGGGGTTGTAGGCCATTCCCATCACTCCAGACACATATTGGTATTCCCCCTTCTCGCTGAGCCTCGAGTACTGCTCTGACGAGGCCAGGTTACGGTGAACATCATGTTCTTCTTCGAACTTCTTATTATAAAACCTCCGTACCTCGTCTAGCTTCCTATGGTTCTCTAGGGATAGTCTGGAAACCTCTTCCTTTTCTCTTCCTGTGCTCTGATACAGGTT